GATAATAAAAAAATCTCTGCACACGTTCACGTGCATATCGTGCTTCCAGCGAAGGAATAATTGAATTGCGGGTCGATGTGAGACAAAATTTTATTTTGAAACCTTACATCATTATAAAATGGTCTTCCGAAAACCGGCCACATGTGGTTCGAGTGGGAATCAGGCTTTCAAATAATTACTAACACTCCTATGAAGAAATCTTGAACAGCGAATGAGGTCAAATAATCATTTGTTCCCTTATAACCGAAAAGAATCTAAAAATCTTTGCTTACTCGAATAATTGGTTGATTTTAACTGATTTAGGACTCAGTCAAAATTTTTTCAATATTTGAGCAAATTCAATAGTATATTACAACAATGAAGTGAAATTTTTATGCTTGCGCTCTTCATTCACCCATTTTGATACCGAACAATTTCCATTACTGTAACAACTGCGCTTTATCACGTTTGGCATGACATATAAAAAACGCTCTGGTTTCAACTGAAATGCAAGTAATGTCCCACTTTGTGTCGCTCAAATAACGAAATAATATCGAAGGGATATGAGATATAAAACTTGAAGCCTCAGTGGTGAATCAAACCTGCGATTACTTTTTCCATAGGTTCACGTGCCTTCTGCCAAATCAATCTGGGTTCTTATTTTGGGTTTTTCTAACAACTCAGTCTTCCTGTGGTTATGTTTCATACCCGACGACTACCTTAATAAGGGAAAATCCAGAAGAGAGAATGGAAACTGGACAGAAATCAAAGCAATGAATCTTTGCACTCGGTTAATAATTTCGAGACTGGAAAGACTGATAGTGTTGAGAAGCCATGGAATTTCGTCGGTGCGGAAATACAGCTGTTAGGTAATGGCTTTGACTGCGTATGGAAGCGTTGAACCCCGAAGCAGAAACACTCAAGTCGTGTCAAATGAAGAGTGAAGCGATCAGCATCAGTCTAGCCTCTAAAGATGTGCCAAGCATTAAACGCCAGTAGGCATCGCAAGGAAGCCGAATTCAAAATTCTCCTGTATATTGATTCCAAGAGATCACTGTTTTTTCCTACCACGCAGCTTTGATAGAATTTCTTCGAATGAGAAGGGGTAGGAAGCCTGGAACTTTCGACTAGCCCGGAAGGCAGGAGCAAGCAAACTATTATAATGATAGACACCATAACTGCCATTCTCGTATCATTCTACATAAAGAAATTATTCGATAGGACGTGGAGATCTAAGAACGACCACGAGCATTCAACGAGCGGCAGTTCTACCGATTTCGTAAAAATTAGAGAATTGCCAAATATGTGCTGTTACCATTGGTAACAATACTATTAAACGCTACTGCTCTTCATGAATCATATTATCCTAGAAGATCTACAAAAACAAGCACAGTGTTGTATTCCTATTGTCTATTAATTGATTTTTAACCCCTATGTTTTTTTGGTATCTGGTTTTGGTAGTTTTAACAGGTTCATTTGGAAATTATCACTTCGCTACTATCTGCTATCTTTGCCTTTGGTTCGAAACTAATTTTGTCGTCCTCGCTTTTCAACTGATTCATTTACACATTTACATTATTCTTAATCATACTATCTCGAGTAATTCCTAGAGAATAAATTGAGAGACGGGTTCCGCTAGAAATGGCATATACACAGAAATTTACAGAAATACCATTATGAACCTTTATAATCCAAGGATCCTCATTGCAATGGTTGTCGAATGTTAACGGTCCTTGCTTCCGATTCGGTGGTCCTCGTTGCTTAGTGAGGAAATTCTGAAGATGGAATACGTTTGAAAATATCATTTTAGGTTCGAATCTTGAATGAATGTGACTTCGCACCTCTACGAAATATATTACCGTATTTTTGAAAAATATTGCTCGGAAAAATTTGAATCCTAACTCGTGTTCAGGCTAATTCATTAGAAATCTGTGGTACGAAAGCAATTAAATGAAAGTGCGTGGACCGCTAATTGTAGAGGCCCCCTCACAGATGTTTCTAGACGTTAAATGAAATAATGTAGACTTTTCTATAGAATAGCCTTCATTTAACCACACTAAAGGCGTGCTAATTATAAGTATTTATTGCTCAAATACATGTCTCTTGGAGATCTCGATGCCTTACGTGCGAGATAAGTAACTTCCGCTGAATATCGTATCCAAAGGTATTTTCAGAAGCAAACGATAGGTGACGTCCTAGGTATAGCAAGCGACCCACCACCTGATGAGCTCATTTCTAGACAAAACCAACAGTCAACATCGTGAACAACAAAATCAGAACTACACTGAAGAAGGACAGGAGCATGGCTTCGTTAGGGGATCTTAGAGATTATGCTTACCATGTAACGGTATCGAACCCCGTGTTTGCCTCATAGATTCAACACACCTAACAGTCTGTCACGGAACAAAAAAGTATGCTGATTTAGCACATTGATCACGCAATATTCACAATGAGCCTGAATGATGTTTTAATTTTATTTCCTATAAATTACACATGCAAAGTCTAGCTGAAATACGCAGCCTAGATCTACGAAATATATCCTATTTTGGAGACAAACACCTTGGAAGATCTCTAGGCAAAGAAGCAGTGGAAAATGTGCTAATGCTCAAATTCGATGCGACAAGAGGTTGCCTATTTATCCACTGAGTGAACACGTAGTTGGAATGGGCGGAATTGTTGGCAAATATCATAGCCAGATGAGTGAGACTCCTTCTACTTACTGAATGTGTGGACCAATAACGTTTTTGTTGGAAACGGCTACATACAAAATCGTTATTCATAACACTTCCAGTCCTTCAATATCACCCATAAAATTTTTCTACACTTCTAAGAAAACATTGATTTGAATGTGAAGTTATCTCTATGGTGCATGATGATCAACATTATTACACTGGAAAGCATAGAACGGTAACCCCTGCGACAATGTGAACTGGTGGATTACTGGTGACAACTTCATGATGATGAATCAACGGCCTTACTCATCGTCAACGGTTTTCATTTGCAGAGAGAAGTTATAACAGCTCCGGAGTGTCTGTTTTGACTTGAAGGAGATGTCACAAACAGTCAAAGATTCTCATTACAAAGATGTAACGATATAAAGAATCAACTAATTGAGCTATTCACATCACTGGGATGACTATAGGCACATTGCGTAGCTTTTTGTTGCAAAAAACAAATCTTATTGCCAACAAGCATTAGAAAAACACCGTAGGGTCCAAGAGACAGCGCTCACTATGCTTGAAAGTTCTGAATAATTTGCTAGACGATATTACAAGAAAAGAAGTATCACTGGCTTGCGTCATTTTCTAGCCACGCTGCTCTACAACTCTCATTTCTTTCCAAATGTAAAGAATAAAGGATAAAGCGCTTGATGTTGAGACATGCGATGGTCTACCGTTGCATCAGTTTTATGCTACTATCTTCCTGGACTAGTCTGGTGTCAATTTCTCCATCCTCAGAGGATGGAAGGATTACTGAGCTCATGACGCTCGACTGAACCAATAACCTCGTGAGTGCTGTTGTACCCTCTAACCACTGCATTACACGCACCGCTCGTTTACAATGTAATGAATGTGAAAGCAGTGAATGGAATAGCATGCTAAACATATGCATGAATGCTTGAATAGTCAATTTCAAAAATAACGAAAAATCGCAATGGAACATTACAATTTCTAATCCACTCGTAATCGAGTGGATAGATGAATTTTGCTTTCCTGTAGTCCACAAATCATGGGCTCTATAAGGTTACCGTAAATTTTCAGCAGGTGGCCACATTGTTGCCAAGATGGTATGAGTCCTAGCCTGGTTCACTTTTCGCACCTCTTTATCTCGAAATACGCTGCTGTGCAGGTGATGCCAATTGTACAAGGCAATTAACGACCAGACACACACTTGCGACTCAGTGAGGTGGAAAATTCATTTGGGGATAGTTAGGAGTAGTGTATGAACTTTCAGTTTAATCATTGCCAACTGAGCGCTGTAACTTTTAACCATATATTTTAAATAGTTTCATTCACATGAAAATTACTGATTCAAATACAAAAGTAGGATAAGCAATGTATTTCTCACAATCTCACAATGAATTTAAGATCATACCGATTTCATGTTTGCGGAAGCACAACTGTAGCAGTTACCTAAAGCACTGAAATGAGTATAGCAAAAATTTCTGTAAAAATACATCAGGAAAATGTTTTCCGAAAGAACTGTGTAGGTCTCAAGCTACAGAAAATCAAAAGTCTAATTTATAAGCAGGGTTAATGCTTTTCCTTGATTGATAGACGTAATGAATAACAATTAGTGATAAATTACTTTGTAGCAATTGTCATGAAGGCTAGAGAATGTGGTTCTCGGATGATACCCCTGAGCGATGGCCTATGCACTCATCTCTGACACCTTCGTTTGAGGTGATCGAATGCATATCTAACTTTTACAATGACTTGCGATTGCCTATCGATGTGTCAAGCCAGTGTCACTTATCCTCCCAGACGGATCTCGCACCACTTTACCGACCGAAGGCTTGGTGAGCCACGAACGCGGGATTAAACCATCGATATCGTGTGCGATTAAGAGCACATCTAACCACTGCGCCACATACGCCCTTTGTAACTCTCATGTACTTTCATATTCATGGTGATATTAATAATCATGTTCTAAGGATTTGACAGATATAGAATTTATAGGTATGAGGATAGAGGATAGAGAATATGTTGGCATATGTAAAAATGATCAGAGTGACTAGTGTAATTTGCCGAATAAGTTCACTCACTTCGAGATTCTGTTAGTCCAAACTTCAACGCCACAATGGAGAACACGATGAGCAGCAAGTCCGTATGGATAATGTAACGCATTAATTTTGGTTTTGTCCTTATTTTCTTTATCTTGATTCGTTGCTCACTGAAAAACTGCCTTGTGTGTTTATAGAGCTGGAAAATCACATGAAATTCTTTTTCATTTAACCGCTTTTAGCGGTGACATAATGTTACAGATATAGCCCGTGTTGTAGAGTGATGTGCAAAAATTTTTAACGTCACAGGCGGGACTTGAACCCGCATCTCACTCTACCAGCGAGTGCGTGCTCTAACCCGTTGCACTATTGACGCCCGTTTTATCATGCTCTTTCTACGCTATCTATAAGTTCTTTTTTCATAGTACAGCTAAGTCAGAAAAATGTGTGCAAATTCTTTAGGAGATGCACTAGAGAATTAACTTTATCTTTACCGATACACTAGAGAATTAGGCGTTAAAATTTACGCAGCTGAAGAAATAACTATGGTTGAAACAAAAAATGATAATCAATTCCTCTATCAGGTTAACAACTGTAGAAAATCGTCTTAACGAAATTACTGCATCGTGATTTGCAATACAGAAGAGTGCTGTCCTTAGCACTTGCAAAGCTACACGTTAGAAAAGAGAAAAACACTCGAACAGATGATATTTCGAGGTAGGTAGATATAAAAATGTCACATTATTTAGCAAAACATCATAAAGCAGATACGTACGAGATCAGTGACCAATGCTGAGCGCGTCGAAATGTTAGCCGAGGATCTCGTACTATCGATTGTTCAGGACAAATAAAAGCTGGATAAACACTACACCTCATTCATATTCGATATTGCCTCTGTGTGCACCGACCACATGACACACTTTGGTCCGCTATACACGGATCAAATAGCAAGTGAACATTCGGTGTATGAAACAAATTCCGTCACTTTCGTAGTGACTCGACGAAAGGACAACGCAGGAGAGCAAACATTGGAAATATGAAAGAGTCAGTTTTAGAGCTTATGGCGACAGTTTATGCCCTAGCATGAGAAATAGGAAATGTAGAAAACCCAACAACGTCGAGCCGCACCCATTAGCACATCGAAACAGAATGCAGTGTCTACTTATATATATGATCAAGACAGAATGCTTTTTCTTTAGCCTCTTTTAGCTGTGACATGGCTTTACAAATATACCAAATGATGATGAGAGGTGTGCAAAACTCTGCCATCAGGCGGTCTCGAACCCGCATTTCCCTCCTTCCGTGGGAGCGTGCTCAACCAACTGCATCGCTGACGCTTGTTTTGCCATCTCTCTTTCTACGCTACAACGCATCACTTTGACAGTAACTCACCTCATAGCGTAGAAAGAGTGATGGCAAAACAGGCATCGGTGATGCAAATAGTTGAGCACGAGCCCACGGGAAGAGTGAAATGCGGGTTCGAGTCCCGCCTGACGTCAGGGTTTTGTCCTCTTATAGTGTTACCGTTACCCGTGTATTCATGACTTACAACGTCTAATATGTATTGTAGGCAGTGCATGTGAGGAGTGGGAAAGTATGCGAAGTGTACACATATGACTTGTGGATAGGGAAGTTGATTGGAAAGCGTGAACAATATGGGCAAAGTGACCGGCTTGGCTCATGAAAAATTGTTTAATGTTCTTAGTGTGTCAGAGTGATTGATTGTCGATTGTCGTTTACTTGGCTGATGAATTTTACACCAGTAAATTTTTATATATATTTATCTACACATACATATATATATATATATATTTGTCTACTCGATCAGTTATCACATTTTTTATTGTGCAGACCCCAACACTTTTAGCATTCAATTCGTTTTTTCGTCTTCTTCTTGATTGACATAGAATACTTGTCAAGCACGTCTCTCCCGAGAATACCCTGGCTGTAGTGTTCCACAGAGCGTTCTTGTTGACTGCCGGAGAGTGTTAAAGATGGAGCTCGGCTCCACGCGCGCCGCGACGAGCATCACAATCACTCGGCCACGGAGCCCACATATAAATGAAGACGTAATAGCCATCAGCCAGGTATCAAAAACCCTTTTTTCTTATCCGAACGACTTTATTACCCAATAATTGAAGCGATATATCATTTCTAATTGCTAAAGTGAATTATGGGAAGTGTAGTTTGAGTAAACACAAAAAATTGAGAGTTAAACTCAGCATTGTGAAACACCTTTGAATGATGTCAACTATTGATGCTTCAAGGAAGAGCTCTTTTCGCGTTTAACTTAGATTTTCAGAGATCATTCGATAGCTCGAATCTCCGTCATCTCGATACTGTACCTGATTTGTAAAAAGGTTTTTTAGGGCGCTGTAGCAATTCAAAAAAATATTACGTTTCACCTCGTAAGCATTTTCGCTCGACTAGAGCTTATGGATGGCTTTTCAACTGAGTTCTGAGGTTCGGTAGCTTGAATAATAGTGACTTGGGACTGAATTCAGTTTTTAGAAAAATTTACAAAAAATGAAAAGAAAATCTCGTTTCGCACTCGGAGAAAAAAGCATATGGTAAAGAAAACTGTGCTGTGTCAGAATGTTGAGAAAAGTATGAAATTCTGATAGAAAAGAGAAACGAATTTTTTAAATGAATAACGAAAACGCTCTCTTTTGGATAGGCTGCGCGCACCGATTTTAACTGCCACGTGGAAAGGACTAGATTTTCAATATTTATTAAAAGCTTTTCTCCGTCTCTGGGAATTTCTATGCTTTTTGTGATCCAATTGCAGAAGAAACTTTGTTTCACCGTCCTTTTGCTTCTAGCTTTTGCTTTCGTGTGATACTGCCGTTATGATATTATGAAGAGTCAGCTATGAAGTTCAAGCGTTGGAACAACTACTTAGGCTCAAGATTTAACCTCGCTCTAGTAGCACTATGGAATTGATTAATTATTTTAAATCTACATAATTAATGCTATCAGATTATTTTCGTATTCCAGTGGAATGTTATCCACAAATCCTAGCCTAAGAAAACTATGCCTCGAGTGCGGGACGCAATTTATGCTTGGTGCTGCAGCATTCTGAAAGTGCCTTTCAAGAAATCAAATGCACCTCTAAAATGACGACATTCCAGGTTACTCAAGGTTAATAAAAGTTTAACAGAAAAAAATGTGCAACGAAAAAATTTGAGCAATTACGCGTGCATTCGTATGAACGTGCAGCCTCAATACCATAATCACAAAATGAGCTACTATGGTTGGAAAGAATGTTGTGGGGCAGTTTAATATGCATGAGATATGCATATCATCGAAAACAGTTTCTTATGTGGGATTTCCCCACTGAAGGCCTAGATATCACTAGTCTTTATTTTCACTTTGTTACAAGCCTCCGCCATGTTTCGCGACACAATCAACGTTAGTGTGTTATTGCGTCATTACTGGAGAAAGGCTTTTTCACAGCGAGCTTGGAATAAACACAGAAGTTAAAGGGGAAGACACAACAAGCACATCTACTGCTGGAAGCTGTGTCAACGCTTCTCAATGCCGCAGATCTTGACTCGATGACAAGTCCCCTTCAGGACGTTCAAGAAAGTTGAACAACGAAGATTTGATTGCTGCTTCGGTAGATGAATCTTCGTCATGTGCTAGCGAATGGGCAATCGAATTTGATGTTTCGCATACAACTGTGCTAATTCCTTTCCACCAGCTCAACTTTGTACACAAGAAGTTATTGCCGTTCTTTTTTGGAAATCAAGCATAAATTTTGAATTTTTCACAAGTGCACCAGAACTTTCTCTCCAACCTAATACTCTTGAATAAGAGCACATAACTGAATGATCAAACATAATATGGTATCAGATTATAATGTTTTGAGCAAGGTCTCAAAAAAACTCGATAATAGAAATTCTCTCCTCAGTCTCGGAGGTACAAGCTAAGGCGTTGCCAAGCATTCAGTTGAATGTTACCTACTAATTTTAGATTTGGTGCGGTGAATTTTTGTGTGTTATTCAGGCTTTATGCTGTATCCATCTACCTTTATATGCCAGATTATCATTTTTTGAGCCACGAATGTGATGTGTTATGTAAGGGCTGACCTATAAAGCCCGATACACGTGTTTCAAGCTTGATGGTCTGATCAGTCGGGCGGTACCTTTTTCGTCTTTAGCCGATCCTCTCGAGGCGCTCAGTCCCCTATGTATCATATCGTTCGTCTCAAGTGTTTTCTTGAGACCACGCTCAAATTGTTTTATGCCAGATAATCATTTTATCTGAACCACACACAATAACGATACCAGTCAAGAGCAATCGAGTGTACAACAGTGTTTGCTTAGCGATATTTTCACTGGACTCACAGTGTAAACTGTTCGTCGTCGCCTACTCTCAGTATAGGGGCTGAACGCCCCGAGAGGATTGACTAATATGAAAAGGGTACCGCCACAAAGGATGAGACCATCAAGGTTGAAACACATGTATCGAGCTCCATAAGTCAGCCCTTACATAACAGACCAGTTGCGTGGCTCAAAAAAAAAAGATTTCTGACATATTGAAATTTGGGTGTGGTTTTTAGAAAACACTCGAAACACAAGGTAAGACATCTACCTTTAGCATTTCAATAAAACGTCCACTTTTGTGGACTTTGGAGAATATCACTTGCTTCCAATTATTGCTACTGGAGTAGATTTTCAGTTCTGCCACGTACTGTCATGATCGGTGATGGACACTTTAGAAATATTCTTCTACAGAATGCGAAGCTTTATTGATCCAATAAAGTTAACAATGATGGCGATCATATTATTCATTATGCTCAGCTATATAGTTCAACACCGAAATGCCTTGAGTTTCGAGTGCAACTCTTTTGAGACAGTACTCCATTCGATAGCACCAGTAAGGTTTCTGTCATTCACCTGACCACAACGATACACATGTATGTTGCCTCTCTCTCGAAACGCTGAAATAACACTTACGTTTTCATGCTTCAACCTTGTTGTTTTTCACAATTTGAATTTACAAATAAAAAAACATGTATAGACTAAATCAGAATTCCTCTGGAATGTGCTCCCCGGTGTCGGACTGTGAAGTACACCGTGGGATAAAATCTCTCCGCAGGACCACTCAAGCCAAGAACAAGACGCGACGTTTCCACTTGGACAGCCGAATACCAAAGGTAAACGTATCAGAATGACCGCCGTCTTGGCAACTACTAGTCGCAAGGTGGTAATTCTCCTTTCATCGACAAGGGCCAGAGACTGTTTTAATGCGATGATCTGTGACGTGAGGAAGCCTCGAATTCAAATAAGCAAACTAGAATTATTGAAGTAAGAGTTCATACAATACAGCATAAAATGGCAATGTTGCTGTGTAGTGAATCTAATTTCTGGAA